CCCCAGTCGGGTAAATGCTGGTTAAATTCGGGCAATTTTGGGCAGGGGCGTGGATAGGAAAATTCATAGAGGGGGCGAGAAATGAAGATATCCCGACAAAAATTTGACACTAATTCTCATTTTTTATTATTTTGAACATAACATAAGGCCACTAGAACTAAACGAAACAGAAAACCATTGTTATTTTCCCGACAAGTGCAGAAATTTTCAGACAAAATGGCAGTTTAGCCTTATAGGTGGGTTTTTCGCCCCCCCCCCCCACCCCCTCTATCTACGCCACTGGCATTCATCACAAATTTTCTGGCAGGTGAAATTTCTCTTCCTCTTTCACTCGGGCAGAAAATTTGCAGCCCCCCTATATTTTAAATGCCCCTACGCTGATGATCATTATTGATATTCTTTGTCATTAATATAATTTTCATTGTTGATGTCATTTTATTATTTTTACTATTAACATCATTACTGAGTTATCAACTTTGTTGTTGCGATTATGATTTATATTATCATTTACATGTTTTTCTTTTTGCTGTCAATTTTGTTATTGAATTTGCTATAATCATCATTACTGATATTATTGTTATCAATAATACTGCTGTTGCTATTATTATTAATGTTATATCATCTTACCTTCTCAGTGTTACTGTTCGTTTTAATTCTTTTTTTCGTAGACTAACAAATACGATTTTGTGCTGGATATGCCACTCCCTTCTGTAGCTGGAGAATCTTGTTTCAATTTTTAATTCTTTGATCTTTTTGTATCATTCACGTACTTCTGTTTATACACTCAATTCAACCAGTAGTGCTGGTAGAACTGCAATAACATGCACACACACACAAAGTATCAAGATTCCCATTGTTGTGTCACTACTTCTAATTCTTTTCTCGGCAGAGCTTTGCTTCCTATAGCATTCATATTCCATCAATGCAAGAATGCATTAAGTCAAAATTTCTAACAAAATCTATAATTTCTACACGATGTCTTTTCATAATTACTTAATAAACCAGACTGCTAACCTGAAGCAGAGAGGAAAATATCAAGATATTTCATCATTTGTGATGACGTGAAAGAGTCGTGTTTGGTTTTAAAAAAATGTCTGCCTTCTGGCACATGTAAGGTCATCATGCATATGATGCTGCAATAATAAATATACCACTTAAATATACTACTGATTTCTTAAGAAAGGGGATCGTCTGAATGGAATGGTTAATGATGTGAATTGGGGTCCCCATGACCCACGTTCAAGACTGTTCCATGCCAAGTGTGATCACATGAAGGCCCATTTTTGTGATTTTTTATCAACTAATAAAAACTTGAGGAGAACTTTCTTGATTAACAAACAACTGTTTTTGCAAATATCCAGTTTATTTCTTATTAGGGTAAATTTCATCGCCACATCTAAACCTAATATAATATTGCTTAATATAAACAAGTAGTAATAACAATACCTTTGAAAGTTTTTAAAATGAAACTACCATTCAAGAAGATTTTCAACCATAAATTCTTGATCAATATGAACTTATTCTGTAGACCTGAGGAGCTATACTATACTGAGGAGCAGTGACCACAATTGCTAACCCGAGATAAGAAAGGTATGATTTGTCAACGACACTTAAATAGAGATTACTGTATCACACCTTAAATAAGAAGTGAGAGAAAAGTATTACTTTCACTAATAATTCATGATCATTACCACTGCCAGCCAAACGCATCACATTCTACTTCATATTTTCACTTTTCTTGCTTCTCTCTCCGTAATTGCATGTGTGTTTGTAGAGGTGGTGGCCATATGTAATTTATAGTGTACGTATTCGTTTATATATTTTTTTCTTTTTTTTTCTTTCTTTCTGTCTTTTTTAATTTATGTTTTTGTTAAAACCACAATGAAAAAATAATGCAAATACACACATATATGAGAAACTGATATAAAAGATAATGATATACAAAATTTCTTTAAAGAGTAACCACTAAGCTTGTGCACAACTTCGCATTTTTTCATTGCTGAGATACTACTTTTTCAAAATCAACTTGTTGCAAAAAAGAAAAAAAAATCTGTCTAAAAATATAGTTTTGAAGCATTTTTTTTAACCGAAATATGCGTCGTCTGCTAATTTACACATTAAAATTCTGTTCGCAGCGCCATCTCTTGGAATTAGTTGCGATGACGTCATGAGTTGTGTTAGTGTCAGTGTTGTGTATTATGGCTTTGGCGTGTTCTTCATCATCCAGTGTTGATAGCTTTTCAAGTCTGGATTCTATAAGCATTTCCGATAACAGTGAAGATGTATGGCAGGTTTGGCAAGACGGTGTTGTGCTTGGTTACCAATTTGAGCCCGAATATTTGTTTTAAGAGGAGCTCTTGGAGTCCGCGGCATTTCAGTTTTCTTACACCCCTTCTCTCATGTCTCTAACGTTAGTTTAGTAGGTTATTCTGAGGTACTATTGATGAGTCTATACGGCGTCTAGGCTCGCCATCGCTCGACATGATGTGAAATGCAGTTT